CGGATTGATGCCTTCTTCGCCGCGCGCTAGTCTCTTCGCTAGACGCGTACCGGGCCCGCAGAACTGATAACCGGGTATGTGCAGTTCGAAGGGAAGAGCGTTTATCGCGCGATTGAGCAGACTGGTGCCACGCATTCGGTCGCGGTTGCGCAAGGAGCATTCGCTTCTTCTTAGTTCGAACGGGAAATCGAAGATACACCGTTCACAGGGCGAAAGCGATTGCACTCGTGGCAATCTTTAATGAGCGGCGGCGGACCGTCTATGTGCGTTCGCTGCCACGGACGATTGTAGTGTTGCATGCACGGGCGATATCTCTGCACCTCGGGATCCGCTTGTATATGTTCCGGCAAACGGTCCCACAACAAGTGCACGTATCTCCCAAATTGACGCAACAGAAGGACCTTCGGAATGTATTGCAACTCTTCCACCGTTAGATTGAGAATTTCGTAACCGTCCACCAGTATGGGAAACACACTACTGTGAGACATCTCACCGATGCGCGCGAACGATTCGTTGATTTTAAAAAATAAATTTATTCTTTCTACGGATACGACGACACGCTCGCGCTACTTATACCCGCGCGCGAGACGTTTGCGCACGCGCGACGAAACGAAACGACGTCCGCGTTTCCCCCTCTTTTTTTCCAGCGATCGAGAGACTCATCGCGAACGAACCGAGCGGAAAAACTCGAGAGAGAAAGAGAGAAAGCAAACATGCGATTCGTGCGACAGACGGCGACGTTAGGAGTCTCGAATCTGGATCGCAAAACGTCGGCGGGGTCGGCCGCGACCGAGAGAGGAAACGGAGAATCGCGCCGGCACAGTCTTCTCCTTCCGAACGTCGTCCGTTGCATCATTTGCTGTCCCTCCAATTGCGGTAAGACGAACGTTCTGCTGAGCCTGCTGGAACAACCGCACGGTCTCCGTTTCGAGAACGTATACGTGTACTCGAAATCTCTGCAACAACCGAAGTATCGATATCTCGAACGATTGTTCGAGCCTATAGATGAGATCGGCTATCACGCGTTTTCCGACAATCGCGACGTCGTTCCGCCCGACGAGGCTCTTCCCGACTCGGTTTTCGTCTTCGACGACGTGGCCTGCGACAAGCAAGACAGAATGAGGGAGTACTTTTCTATGGGTCGACATTCGAATATCGATTGCTTCTATCTCTGTCAGACGTACGCCAAGATACCGAAACATCTCGTGCGCGACAACGCAAATCTGCTGATCCTGTTCAGGCAGGACGGCACCAATCTGCGACACGTGTACGATGATCACGTGAACATCGACATGTCGTACGACGAATTTCGCGCCTTCTGTCGCGAGTGTTGGCGGCGCACCTACGGTTTCGCCGTGATAGACAAGGACAGCGCGTTGCGAGGCGGACGGTACAGACGGGGCTTCCACGACTTCGCCGTGCTGTAGGGTCAATCAGTGCGCCTCGTCGAACGACGCGAGTATGAGCGCGATCGCGGAGAAGAGAACCGCGCGAGAGATAGTCAAGACGCGCGCCTCGATTCGCAGAAAGTACGCCGCTCTCAGGGCCGAAAAAATGGAGAGCGAGATCGCTCTGGAAAAGAGGTACGAGCCTATCGTCAAACCTTTGAAACGGCTCGCCGATGACGTGGAACGCCGAGGTAAAGGACCGGGCAAAATCGACGACGACGGCGCTGGCTTTGCGTTCCCGAAAAAGATGAAAGCGACGAAGAGAGCGAAGGACAGCGAGAACGGCGACGACGACGACGACGCTGGCGCCGACCTGGAGCGTGATTACTGGGAGGACGACGACGTATTCGCGCCAATCGGGACAACCGCGACGGTGGAAAAAAGAGAGTCGCGTCCGGCACGGCTGAGTTCGGCTCCTGCGACGACGACGACCGCGATGAGCTCCACGCCGATCCGCGACGATTTGGTCCAGTTGTTACCCAGAGAACGCGAGATCGTATCGGAGACGACGACTCCGCCTCCCACATTGGAGACGTCCGCCGGGAAATCTTTGTGTACGGCGGAAAGTCGCGACGTTCTGACTAGCAAACTAGGACCGTTGGGGCGGGAATACTTGGGTGCTCTTCTGGGCGGCGACAAAAACAAGGAGATCGACACCGTTTACGGAGTGCATTTCGGCGAGAAAGGCACGATGCTGGGAAACAAGCGATTCAAGCTGAAACCGGATGACACCATGGTCATCGACGGTGTACCGTACAAAGGCACGCGCGGCCTGTACGAGTTGATCTTCATGGGAAAACCCGACCCTAAAATCTACACGGAGAAGGACAAATTAACGTACAGGAGCATACTTTTTTCCACCAGCGCTCACAAACGCGGTGGCAAAGCCGACAATCCCGTCAAGGGCAACAAGGGACCGAAGTACAAAAATATAATAGCGCCGCTCGTAAACCTGTCTCTCAGAATTGGAACTACGAAGGGTGCCGGGCTACCGTCGGCCATGCGACTGACCGACAACGTTATCGATTACGTTCACTGGGACGATCCCAACGAGCTGGTCGATAGACTTCGACTGCTGGACGCCTCTCGTCGGGCCGGCAACGATGCTCACGACAACGAAATCCTGTCGATAATCGAGGAACTTCGCGAGGCCGGCTTTGTCATAAATTGATCGGTCGCGACGTCAGTGCGAGTCGCGCGCCCGCCAGCGCGATGTCCGTGAACAAATTCGGCATGTCTCTGACGAATCGGGGCAGCGGCGACGGAGTCGACGGTGCGTCCGCGGTGAGATTGCGCTCCTCGATCGAGTCCCTGCGCAATTACGCGCGCAACAACGCGTTCTTTGTGAGCGAGGATTTTTACGACGCGAAGGAGCGCAAGATACGAAGAGTGGCCGCGCCGGAGATCGGCACCGACGCGGCGAACAGGAGTTACGTCGAGAACGCGATTGGGCAGCTGAAAAGCGTTTTGATCGAAGAGATCAAGAATAACAACGCGATCCGAGATTTGGGAAACGGAATTGCGGCGTTGGAAAGCGTCGCGCTCTGTTTGAACGCTCAGGATTCCTACGACGCGTCGGGGCGGAAGATACGACGCGTAGCCGCGCCGGAGGTCGGCGCCGACGCGGCCAACAAGAGGTTCGTCGAGGGAGCGATCGCGGAACTCGGAAAGACTTTGAGCGACGCGATAAAAGAATTTAAAGAGGAGTTCGTTACCGTGAAGAATACCGCGGATAGGCACGAGGTTGAAATCATCGCGCTCAAGACCGTTTTGAAGATTCTCAAACAAAACGAGCGTGGAAAAACGTAGACTCGTTGAAGAATTGCACGCGCCGGCGCGAAAAAATTTTCCTCGCCGCCGCGTCGTGGTGCGCGGTTACGACGACCTGTGGCAGGCCGACGTGGTCGAGATGCGCCCCTATTCGCGCGCGAACGCGGGCCACAATTACATTCTGACGGTCATCGATGTGCTGAGCAAGTACGCCTGGGCGATCCCGCTCAAGAGCAAGGGCGGAAAGGAGATCACGACAGCTCTCCGAAAGATCTTTCGCGAGGACGCGCGACACCCCAGGAATCTGCAAACAGACAAAGGAAAAGAATTTTACAACGCCGACGTGCGCAAAATCCTCGACGACCGCGAGGTGAATCACTATTCCACGTATTCGGTGATGAAAGCGTCGGTGGTGGAGAGATTCAATCGTACGCTGAAAAACGACATGTGGAAGCTCTTCACGCTCCAGGGATCGTACAGATGTATAGACTCGCTGCCGCGCCTCTTGTCGAATTACAATCGCCGCAGACACAGAACAATCCGAATGCGTCCGGCGGACGTGACGCCCACCGTCGCCGAAAAATTGTTGCGCACGGTGTACGGTCGCGCGAAGATAGCCGCGCCGGCGAAATTTCGAGCGACCGGTGCGCGTGAGCAAATTCAAAACGATCTTCGAAAAAGGCTACACTCCCAATTGGACCACCGAGATCTTTCGAATAGCCAAAGTACAAAGGACCAATCCCGTTACGTATCTGCTGAAAGACGTTCGCGGAGAAGCGATAGCCGGAGGATTCTACGAACACGAGTTGCTGCGCGTCTCCAATCCCGACGTTTATCTTGTGGAAAAAGTTCTGCGCAAGCGCGGCAATTGAGCGTTCGTGAAGTGGTTGGGAATGGACAGTTCGCACAATTCGTAGATAGATAAGGCGTCTGTGTTGTAAAAAGAAAGAAATACTTAGACATTAGTAGACAACGCTTACTTTATTGTCAATAAAAGTTTACACATTCGTCGATTTGTTTCTTACGTGTTGTTAATTTTTACGATAAAACAATTTTTAAAGCGTACAATATTGTTTCACCCCTTTTTTTTACAACGGTATTTTGTAATGTCCCCACGGAAGCGTTTCCTCACCGTTCGACGTCACGTATCGCTTGTCGTCGTGCGGACTGAGGGCTAGTTTTTGCTCCGATACGGTGTTAACCTCGTGCAGCGTCGAGCGTATGTACGACTGGCGCGTCTTCAGCTCGCGCGCGTTCCGCAGGCACTCCACGTAATCCTCGAACGTGATCCTCTTCGCGACTACGTTTCTCTTGACGCCCTTTATTCTCTTGGTGTCGTCGCGTCCGAGTACCTTGTAAGTGTACATCTTCGCTCTGAGGCCCACGAATTCCGTCATGATCGCGCCGTTGTTCTCGTCCTTCATCAAACCTGGCACCTTCTTGTTGACGCGCGGCATACCGTGCGCGTTGTTCTCCGCGTAATCGCTCGTGTCGAACCTGTGCACGTCGCGTTTCATACGCTCGTACGCGTCTTCACACTCCAGCGAATAGATCAGACTGTCCGTATCCGTGTAGGCAATTCGACAACGGTCGCGATAGAGCGGCACCATGTAGTCGTAGTGAAACTCGTAGAGACGCGTCTTGGATATCTCGAGAATAGACATACCCACGTAGATCGGCTTGTTGAATGTTACCTCGAGCCTTCGCAGCTCGATCGCCACCAGATTCTCCGAGAAGACGCTCCTGCTGTGAAAATTCGGCTTAGCGATCAACGCCTCCGCGCCGTATCTCCCGTCCCATCGCGTCACGAGACGCACGTCCACGTGATCGCGCACGTTCTCCATAGTCTTGCTGAAGACGGCGTTGTTCATCAGTTTGTACAAATTCCGTTTGAACTCGTTGCTCGCGCGCGTCCTAAGCGCGGTGTTCAGTTCGATGTAGACGCGAAGCCACAGCGACTGGGCGAATTGCAGAACGCAACGAACGCGCGTCAGACGCATACCTAGTCGCAGACATTGCTGCAGGTTTCGATGCGTCACGTAGCGCGATTTGTCGTAGAGAGTGGCGAGCAGTTTTTCCTGTCGCTTGCCGGGCGGTTTGTCGCGCGTCGGGCACAACGGCAGATCCGCGTGGGCGTCATGCAGGTCTCGCGGGTACTCGAGATCCACCTCCAAAATGTAACCGACGTCGCTGTCCGTCGGCACGGTCGTCGCGTCGAAATTCTCAGGATCGTCGAGCCACTGGAAATTCGCGTAGGGCAACGATTCGCTCATAGCCCAGCCGTACAGATTGTTCACGTCGTAATACATGAGATACGTAGTGGGCTGGGACGAGTCGTGCGTCGGTACGTGCCTGTTATTGGCTCGCGCGTACCTGAGCGAACATTGACTGAGGCCGCCGCGTATTCCGCGTTCCACGAACAGCACCATGTCGATGTCGGTGAGCAGCTCGAAACGCACGCCGGTGTACCTCAGCATGGCGTCCCACGTGTACCCCGGCAACGTGTAGTAATGCGCGGGATCGAGCCCGTAACTCGCCGAACACGCGTCCCGAAAATTTTCAAATATATCCGCCAGAAGAAGCACGTCGGTCTTGAGATACAGATCGCTGTAATCGCCGAGATCTCGCACGCGAAAACGTCGCCAGACCCTCGTCGCGTGCTCGTAGTCGCTCTCGCTCGCGGTCTCGTCGGTCAGAGAGCTGTAAAAGGCCTCGCGCGGCGGAAGCTCGGTATCCCGCAGTTTGTCCGCGCTGTCGACGTACTCGTACGGAAACACACCCTTGCGAGTGAGTAGATCGAGATCCTCCGCGCTCAAATCCGCGTACCCCGAACGCGTGATTCTCAGCTTGTCCCTGTTCAGATAGGACGCTAGGGTTTCGATACTCGCCGTTAAAAATTTATACGAATCCACGAATCGAAGTTTCACGTACTGATTCCATTTCCCGTCCGTCTGCGTCTCCTTAACGGTCTTCGAGAAAGATATGTAGCTTTCCTTCGTGAGCGGCAGCAGATCGACCCCGCCCTCGAAATCGTTCGCAATTTTCTCGACGACGAAGTGCGCGTCGTAACCCGACAAATTGTGAAAGAACACGGGAATCACGTAAACGTTTCTGTAATTCAAATTGCAACGAGAATGCGCCGGACCTTTGTAACGTCCGGTTAGGTGACAGTGATCCCGCACGCGCTTGTCCTCCGGTTGAAACGGTTTCCCGCACACGTGACAATGAGTCGCGAGCAGAAATTCGCTTTTCTCGTCCTCCGTAAGTTCCACCATCGCTATATTGGTGAAAAATTTATTCTTAACGCGACGCGCGAGAACGCGAAGTTCGTTCACGAACCACGAAACGCAATCCTCGCCGCGACGATATCTGTACGCAGACGCGGTATCGTCGCAGGTGCAGCACAGATAGTAGCCCAGGCTGAACGGTACGTGACGCTGATAAGCGTATCTTTCCGTTCTCGGGCCCCCCTCGACGTTTTCCCTCTTCCGTCGCTCGAGAAGACACTCCAGATCCGCGTACACCACGAAGGGAAGTCGCTCCTTTCTGTCGTAATTGTCGAAAGACAGCCATTTGTCGCTCTCGTTCGGGAGAACGACGGCGCAGTCGTTCATTCGGCCGCAGTCGACGTTGTGGGCAACCAACTTGTCGCGCGTATAGAAATAGTGTAGACATCTGCGAAATAACGTGCAAGCGATTACTGCGTGTATGTAAAAAAAATAACGCCTCGTCTTTTTCTTGTTTCCCGTGTTTTTTTTTCATTTCATTTTTTTTACCTACCGATCGCAAACGTGCTTCGCGTACCGTTTCGCTGTCAATTGCGAATTCACCAATCGCGACAGATTCTTTATCCAGGCCAAATGGCCCCTGTTGACGCCGCGCAGCTTATCGCGCAGATACAGCAGATTTACGTGCCTGTCCCGCTTATCGTTGGTCAACTGCAGAGGCACGATCGCGTTGTGGTTGGCGCCTCGGCCGAACTTAGCTTTCTTTTCAATTACTTCCCGAGTTGTAAACACGTTGATCGATACGTCGTTCTGACGTTCGAATTTCCCGATCTTTTTCAGATCTATGGGAAAATCGATCCGGCGAGATTCAGCACCGTCGCGTAATCGGGATACGAGCCGCATCGTTCCGCGTGCCGCTCGGCGGGGTACAGAGCGGCGACCACCGCGCGCGCGAAACACGCGTCGTTCTCCGACGGCACGTTGACCACCGCCTTTTTAAGTCTTATACCCAGCGGTATTTTTATCCAACATCCCGCGCGCATGGGATTACACTTGTTCACGTTCACGATTAGGTTCAATATTCGCGACAACGCCCATCCGCTGTCGCGTTCCTGAAATTCTTCCAACCGCGTTAGAATCGCGTCGCGCACGTGGTTATCATACCACTCGCTCAGATCGGACCCTGGGACAAGCTGTTCGTTTTCACGTCGGTCTTAACGTCCGCTACGAATTCCCCGTTGAATATGACATTGACCTTCAGACACCCGTGTTCGGTCATATTATCCCGCACCTTTTCGAGCACGGTGCCCTTCGCGTCGTCGAGAAATCGCGCGGGCTCGATGTACGTCGAGTTCGTCACGGCGCCGGTCAGCACGCGACGTTGGAACGCCGCGTCGATCTCGATCCACGAGAAACCTCTGTCGCTGCTGCCGCCGCTACCACCTTCCCCTCCGTCCAAGCCGGCACACAGTGGAACGAAACATAGAGTTTCTCGGACATAGCGGTGGAGCGTTCTGGGTTTTTTTATTTTATACGTCTACTTCATTTATATAGTATTTTTACTTGAGATTTTGATATAATATGATAATATTTTTGTTCTAATCATTTTGAGCGTAAGTAATAAAAGTATATGTACACGAAAAACAATTGGCAACTATGTAATGAACATAATTATGAATTACAGATAATATTACTTACCGATTAAAATAAATTTTAGACGTCAGAGTTAGAGAGAAGCGTCAGAATTTTCTGCATTACAGTCTTCATCGTTTTCGGAATTTTCTTCTTTTTGAAAAAATAATTCTTGTACCTCTGGAAACATTTCTTTCTCTTTTGATTTTCTGAAATCGGGTCTTAGGCTGGATATAAATGGATCAGACGATATTAATAAATAATGCAATAAATCTTCATTTGTCGCTTTCCTATTGATCTTTCTGGTATTCTCAAGATGATATTTTCTAAACTGTTTATGTCTAGCCTTAAGAGCCTCTTCGGAGAGCTGTCCTACTGGCATAATTGCATATTTTATAATTTCTGCACCATGAAACAGAATCTTATGAACAGTAACTGGCATATAGTACCATCCGTATTTTTCAATAACAAGTTTCGCTAAATTCTTAGCGTAATAATCGAATTTTTCTGCATTAATTTGTCGACCTGATGCGATAGCTTGTAAAAGGATTGCGAATTTCCGTATTATTTGTTCATCCAATCCGGTAATCTCTGCTGTTACTGAAGGCTTTTTGAAAAATTTTCTAGCAGTATTGCCATCGTTTGTGTTGCCGACACCCTGCTTTACTACATCGATTAATAAACCTAATTTCTGATTAAATTCTCCTTGAATTTTCTTTTTACGTTCTTTCTTTCGCAACTTCTCCTGCATATCTCGGATCGACCATTTTTTAATTTCAAGATTATAAGAAACATGTAATAAAAATTCCATGCATCTAATCCATCCGTGAAGACTTGATAATCCAAATTTATAATGCTCTACCTGAACATTCTTCTTACAAATAAGATCAAAATTATTCATATCCTTAGGTTTTGCGCCGCATATGAAACATTTCATTGACGAAGAATCTGTTAATGATGAACACACTTTTCCATCCACCATAGTGAGTAACAGTTCATGTTCCACCGAAATATTGTCCTCGTATTGTGTTGGAATCAAAGCTTCTATTTCGGTTGACATCCTTTGATTTTCTCTACGGATAATTTCATTATCCTCCCTTATAAATTCAAACTTAACTGGCCGGCAATATTTGGTAGAAGACGGTTTCAAATTTTCCCAAATAATAGTTGAACCATTGATCAATTTCAGAGGGACTAAACACGTTGTGAAAATTGAATCATCTTTCGGTTTGTCGCAATCATTCGGTAGTTCTGTAAATGCTTGTTTGTAAAGGCTTTGACAGCTTGCTCCATCAAATCCCGATTTAGATATTAATTTTAAATTCTGAATTTCAGAATGCGTACCAATATTACATGTTTTAAGTAATTTATAAGTTGTCAGATCAGGGAGAGCTTGTAACTTTATTGATGCATGAGTATCTGAAATTATAATTGCTTCTTTTGGGGGATAACAGTCTTTCTTTGCCAATTGAATTTGATAATACGAAGGATACGGATTAATACCTTGTTCAATAGAAATTTTTCGTAGCTCTTTATATTTTAATTTCGATAATCTCAAATTCACTATTAATGCTAAAGCTTTTTCTTTGGAGTACATTTTTACTTCAAGTTCTTTACCTTCGCAGAAAGCTCTGAGTCTTGATGTTTGTTCAGGATGTTCAATAAGAAAAGATTGCTGCACCATCAACATTGCCAGAAGCTTGCATCTTTACTTTTAGAGCGAATGCTAGTTCATCTATAGTGTTTTCAGCTCTCAATAATTCGGTACGTCTTCTTTTTTGTCTATTTGATATATTCAAAAATGGTTTTCGTTTAGATAAAGGAATATCTGGTCTTTGTTTTTTATTCGCTGATGTAGAAGGTTGGGTTGACTCTATTTCTGTCGAAGTTACAATCAAAGCTTCTTCTGGGAATCGAAATGTTGTTCGTAACCATGATTCATTCAATTTTATAAATTTTGCATATATACGATTCGATTTACACCATCGTTCATATAAATAAGATGAAAATTTTCTTAATGGCTCAGATAAATATTCCTCAGCATTTTCAGAAAAA